TGACGGGGCCCGGCGAGGGCCTCCCGGAAGCCGCAAATGGCCAAACACCTCCCGTCGCTCCTGTTCTTGACGCAGGGAGGTCAGGGCATGGCGACGTCTGGAACCTATCGCTCCCGTCGGGGATGAGAGAACAATGCAAACATAAACGATGGGAGATCCGCGCGGATTTCGTGAAGCTGCGCTGAGCCCCCCTCCCCCAGCGCGCGGCGCCAGGGGTGGCATTAGAGGCGCCACCAGGAGGGATTCAGTGCCGACCAGAAAAATCAGCGCGGCCCTCTGAAAGTTTACGTGCTTGACTTTAGTTGCACTTCTGTGAGTGTTAGGTTACTTGTGCGGCACTTGCAGCTTCAAGCATTGTTTTGGTCGTTGCGTATGCAGAAAAATGGCACAAGCCCATCGATTTGACTAGGCATGTACCCATGCAAACCCATACACGATCACATCCATTAGAAGGATGAGGAAGCACGGCAAAAACATAAACTTTTGGCGCTCCGCGCGGATTCACTGGATCTGCGCTGGACCCCCTCCGTGGCGCGCGGAACGCGCCAGGAACGGCGCCGGAGGCGCGCCAGGGAGGGGCCCAGCGTGGATCCAAGAAATCCGCGCGGAGCTAACAGTTTATGCTGGTGCCGCTTTTCTTTCTCGGCCCAGAGACATGCATCATTATCTCTATGTGCATACGCATGCACGCACAGTCATACCCTTGTGGGCTCCTCGAGGGGCCCCCCTTGCTCACCGCCGCGCCTTGCTCTTGGGGATCGACTTGATCGCGCACCGCCTGCCCGTGGAGCGGTGGACGGCCGCCCGCACGATGCCGTAGGAGCCGCGGCCGATCTCCTCGGCAGAGGGAGCTCGGCCATAAGAGACCTTCCACGAGAAGCCCAAATCCCACTTCCCATATTTTCCCATATTTTCCCATATTCTCCTGGGAGTGGACGATTAATCGTGTCTGTGTTTTTTCCCCTCCTGACACAAGAGACCTTCCACGAGAAGCCCAAACCCTGAGACCCTGGGAATGTCAATTGCTCTTGTGAGATGGAGACGCCACGTCTTCCATCGCAGTAGGGAGCCGAACTCTGCACATCGACGCTTGTTCCGGCCCGGCACTGGAGTCTGCAAACAGGAAAGCGGATCCTGATGTGTACGGGATCCTGGTATACACACATGTCTCGTGTCTTCCCCGGGAAGCGGATAATAAAAAATATACACCACACCACCCCGACGACGTCGTCCCCGACCCTGACAAATCCCGGGATTGAGGAACAGCCCGCCACTGGTAATGCATATTAATCCAGTTTCCGACATAGGACCATCGAACGATGCCGTAGGAGACACGGCCGATCTCCTCTGCAGAGGGATCTCGGCCAGAAGAAACCTGCACAGAGGGCTTCCAATGCACAGAGGGAGTAGCAAACACATGCACAGGCGTCGGGTACGCCGATGAGGGGGCCAGGAAGAGGGTGGACCAAGACACGTGTCGAAAGAAAAAAATAATAAGAATTATAATAAGAATAATAATAATGAGGATAATTATATGAAGACATTTAATCATAAAAGGCACAATCATAAACATAAGCATGCTAATCCGCCGGCCTCCTTGCGGGGCCACCAGGCTGTAGGCCAGGAATGTGCTGCTCCCTGTGCCAGTTGCAGCTTCCAGTTCCCACTGTTACAGTTCTGCTTCTTGCTGCTTACTGTTCCTTGTTGATGAACGCGCGAGGGGGGGGGGAGCCCAAACCAGCAGAACTACCACGCCCTGGGAGGATTCTTAGAATTTCTGGAGGGGTAACATGATGGACCCACGAACCCGGAAAGGGATATAGACATGTGCAGCATGGTCACGTTTTCACGATATCCAACTGGGCGACACCACACGAAACATCCCACGAGACATGCCGCGAAACATCCCACGAGACACCTCACGAAACAACCCACGAGACACCTCACGAAACATTCCACGAGACACCCCGTGAAACATTCCACGAGAAACCCCACGAACAGGTAACCACTCAACCAGACACCCCACGAAACATTCCACGGGGGTGCGACTGGGTGTGGTCGTGCTGGGGTGTGGTCGTGCTGGGGTGTGGTCGTGCTGGGGTGGGGTCTGTGCTGGGGTGTGGTCGTGCTGGGGGGGTCGTGCTGGGGGGTGGTCGTGCTGGGGGGTGGTCGGTCGTGCTGGGGTGGTGTCGTGCTGGGGCGTGGTCGTGCTGGGGCGTGGTCGTGCTGGGGCGTTGTCGTGCTGTGGGGTCGTGCTGGGAGAGGTCGTGCTGGGGTGTGGTCGTGCTGGGGTGGGGGGGTCGTGCTGGGGTGGGGTCGTGCTGGGGGGTGGTCGTGCTGGGGTGGGGTCGTGCTGGGGTGGGGTCGTGCTAGGGTGGGGTCGTGCTGGGGTGTGGTCGTGCTGGGGTGTGGTCGTGCTGGGATGTGGTCGTGCTGGGATGTGGTCGTGCTGGGGTGTGGTCGTGCTGGGGCGTGGTCGTGCTTGGGTGGGGTCGTGCTGGGGTGGGGTCGTGCTGGGGTGGTCCGCACCTTGTGATTTATCAATCGGGTCGTGCTTGGGTGTGGTCGTGCTGGGGTGTGGTCGTGCTGGGGTGTGGTCGTGCTGGGGTGTGGTCGTGCTGGGGTGTGGTCGTGCTGGGGTGTAGTCGTGCTGGGGCGTGGTTGTGCTGGGGCGTGGTCGTGCTGAGGTGTGGTCGTGCTGAGGTGGCCCGCACCCTGTGATTTATCGATCGGGATTTCAAAAACAAGCGTTTCGCCTGAGACATCCTCAAATTTTAATCCGCCGGCCTCCTTCGACCTCGATATTTATCAGGGAAAGAATCCGCCGGCCTCCTTCAAGTTGGCACCGGGGGACAGGTTTACCAACTAAAAGAGAACCCTGGGCCTGAGCCCTTTCCGGGAAAAATTGGCACCCCTCACGCAGATCCGCAGGGTCAGGATCCAAAAACACAAGGGATTTGCCACATGTTTGAACTTCAGTGACACCCCTCACGCAGATCGGCGGGGTCAGAGTCAAACATGATGGACCCACGAACCCGGAAAGGGATATAGACATGTGGAGCATGGACACGTTTTCATGATACCCAACTGGGCAACACCTCACGAAACATCCCACGAGACACCTCACGAAACAGCCCACGAGACACCTCACGAAACATTCCACGAGACACCTCACGAAACATTTCACGAGACACCCCGCGAAACATTCCACGAGACACCCCACGAAACATTCCACGACGACAGGCAACCACTCAACCAAGGCGGTGTGGTCGTGCTGGGGAGTGGTCGTGCTGGGGTGTGGTCGTGCTGGGGGGTGGTCGTGCTGGGGGGTGGTCGTGCTGGGGGGTTGGTCGTGCTGGGGGGTGGTCGTGCTGGGGCGTGGTCGTGCTGGGGCGTGGTCGTGCTGGGGCGTGGTCGTGCTGGGGCGTGGTCGTGCTGGGGCGTGGTCGTGCTGGGGTGTGGTCGTGATGTGGTAAGGTCGTGCTGGGGTGCGGTCGTGCTGGGGTGTGGTCTTGCTGGGGTGGGGTCGTGCTGGGGTGTGATCGTGCTGGGGTGGGGTCGTGCTGGGGTGTGGTCGTGCTGGGGTGTGGTCGTGCTAGGGTGGGGTCGTGCTGGGGTGGGGTCGTGCTGGGGAGTGGTCGTGCTGGGGTGTGGTCGTGCTGGGGTGTGGTCATGCTGGGGAGTGGTCGTGCTGGGGTGGGGTCGTGCTGGGGTGGGGTCGTGTGGGGTGGGTTCGTGCCTGGCGTGCTCCGCACCCTGTGATTTATCGATCGGGTCCGTTTTGGCCTGGGGTGTGGTCGTGCTGGGGTGTGGTCGTGCTGGGTCTGTGGGTTGTGCTGGGGTGTGGGTCGTGCGGGGTGTGGTCGTGCTTGGGGGGGGGGGCGGGGGGAGTTGATGGGACCGTGCATGGGGTGTGGTTAGAGGCGGTAGTTGCTGGGGTTGGTCGTGGGGGGGGTGGTCGGGGGGGGTGTGGTCGTGCTGGGGGTTGGTCGTGCTGGGGGCGTGGTCGTGCTGGGGGTTGGGTGTGGTCGGATGGGGCGCGTGGTCCACCAGCTGGGGCGTGGTCGTGCTGTGGTGAGGTCGTGCTGGGGTGTGGTCGTGCTGGGGTGTGGTCTTGCTGGGGTAGGGTCGTGCTTGGGTCGGGTCGTGCTGGGGTGTGGTCGTGCTGGGGTATGGTCGTGCTGGGGTGGGGTCGTGCTGGGGTGGGGTCGTGCTGGGGTCTGGTCGTGCTGGGGTGTGGTCGTGCTGGGGTATGGTCGTGCTAGTGTGGGGTCGTGCATTTCGCTCGAGACATCCTGCCAAAATTCCAGGAAATCGTACAAAAACAAACAAATTAGTCGAAACATCATCGAAATTCCTTCGCGCGGGGCGCTTTTCCGCGTCGCTGTCGGCTCTGCAAAACAAGCGTTTCGCTCGAGACATCCTCGGCAAACTCTGCGGAGCAAGCGTTTCGCTCGAGACATCCTCAACACACGAAAAAGTGGCCCGCACCCTGTGATTTATCGATCGGGATTTCAAAAACAAGCGTTTCGCTCGAGACATCCTCAAATTTTAATTCGCCGGCCTCCTTCGACCTCGTTATTTATCAGGGAAAAAATTCGCCGGCCTCCCTCAAGTTGGCACCGGGGGACAGGTTTACCTACTAAAAGAGAACCCTGGGCCTGAGCCCTTTCCGGGAAAAACACATGGGATTTGCCACATTCCTGCAATTCGGTGGCACCCCTCACGCAGATCGGCGGGGTCAGGGTCCAAAAACACACGGGATGTGCCACATGTGTGACATTCGGCGGCACCCCTCATGCAAATCGGCGGGGTCAGGGTCCAACATGATGGACCCACGAACCCGGAAAGGGATATAGACATGTGGAGCATGGGCACGTTTTCACGATACCCAACGGGGCAACACCTCACGAAACATCCCACGAGACACCTCACGAAACATCCCACGAGACACCTCACGAAACATTCCACGAGACACCTCACGAAACATTCCACGAGGCACCCCGCGAAACATTCCACGGGACACCCCACGAAACATTCCACGACGACAGGCAACCACTCAACCAAGGCGGTGTGGTCGTGCTGGGGAGTGGTCGTGCTGGGGTGTGGTCGTGCTGGGGGGTGGTCGTGCTGGGGTGTGGCCGTGCTGGGGGGGTGGTCGTGCTGGGGGGTGGTTGTGCTGGGGCGTGGTCGTGCTGGGGCGTGGTCGTGCTGGGGCGTGGTCGTGCTGGGGTGTGGTCGTGCTGTGGTGAGGTCGTGCTGGGGTGTGGTCGTGCTGGGGTGTGGTCTTGCTGGGGTAGGGTCGTGCTGGGGTCGGGTCGTGCTGGGGTGTGGTCGTGCTGGGGTGTGGTCGTTCTGGGGTGTGGTCGTGCTGGGGTGTGGTCGTGCTGGGGTGTGGTCGTGCTGGGGTGTGGTCGTGCTGGGGTGTGGTCGGCTGGGGGGTGGTCGATAGCTGGTGGGTGTCGTGCTGGGGGTGTTGGTCGTGCTGGGGGGTGGGCGTGCTGGCGTGGTCGTGCTGGGCGTGGTCTTGCTCTTGCTGGGGCGTGTCGTGGCTGGGGTGTGGTCGTGCTGGGGGGGTGGTCCGTGCTGGGCGTGTCGTGCTGGGGGGGTGGTCGTCTGGGGGGTTGGTTGGTGCTGGGGCGTGGTCGGTGCTGGGGGGTGGTCGTGCTGGGGCGTTGGTCGTGCTGGGTTGTGGTATCGTGCTGGGGTGGGGCGTGCTGGGGTGGGTCGTGGCTGGGGTTTGGTCTTTGCTATGATGGGGTCGTTGCTGGGGTGGGGTCCGTGCTGGGGGGGGTTCGGCTGGGGTGTGGTCGTGCTGGGGTGTGGTCGTGCTGGGTGGT